GCTTTGAGCTGAGCCATGTTGAGAAGCACAGCAGCGCTCAGTAGGATGAGAAAACGAGAAAGTAGGTGGAAATTGGCTCCATGGTGCCGGTTCTGAAGTTCTGAAGCTGGTAAATCGAAACCAATCATGCACCCGTGCCCAGAAATGCTGATACGAGCTGCACAAGAGTTCCTTGCAAAACAGAGCCTGTACCTCAGGGCCTCATGGCCTTCCTTGAAGTTGGAAGTGTGTCCAAGGTGTACAACCGTACAGCCACTGCTCATCGCATCGTCGCAGGTGCCCCTCTGCATGCCTTCGAGCATCACATGAAACTCTTCGTGGCCTCAGCCTCACATCCCACATCCTGGGCTCTCTCTTTGTTGCTATTTGGTCGGTTGAGCGGGTGAAGGCTTTCAGTGCAGTGCTCTCCTTGGCCCAGGATTTTGGCATGTTCTTCTTCGGGCTTGCAAATGCTGGCGCTTGAGTCTCAGCTTGGAAGGCATGATTGGCCCCGTTGCCAACTCGGTAAGTACTTTGTCTTTTTGCGCAGGTCAAAGTTGGAGGCTTGGGCACACTCACCTGGGCCACAGTCATCGCCCTCATCGCCCGGGACTCCCAAACGCCTTCAGTTGAGGCAAAATGTTGCGTGGCTTAAGCCTGAGGCGGGCAAGACGCTGGGCATCGTAGCGTTCTCGCTGTCAGCGCACTGCATGGGCTTTCTGCTCCCAATAGGCCAGAGCCTGGCCTGCCAGGGATGCCTTGAGGACAGTTATTAATATTAGTACTATGATCACTATTTCTACGATTACTGCTATTATTATTCCTATTATTCTTATTGTTATTATTACTATGATTAGTGACAGCAGATGTCAGCCAGGCTTGACTGTCGTGGATCTCTTCGCGATGTCAGCGCTCGGCGGGGCCAGGGACTTGTGTCCAGCGAAGCCAGCTGAGAGCACGATCCTGTTTTGCCAAATGTTGCAGAGACTATACATACATATATAACCCCATAATATAGTAGTTTCCATTTTCTTTTCCATTATTCCCTATATAACCCCTAGATTGCATTTGGGCCAGTCCCCACAGTTAGGTGAGTCTTTGTTGCAGCCGCTGTGTACACACCAGGTTGGGCTGACTGTTGCGCTGTTCGTCTCAAACGAGGCCGGGTTATTTTGCAACTTCAAGAAGGTTTGGCATGATTTGGCTCTGTAACTTAGAGCTTGGACTTGTGTTGTAGCCTTCCTTGGTGCCCCGCAGTCCCACACACTACGCTGTGGCAAGTCGGGAAGATATTGGGCGGCACATGCGCTGCATAGTATGCAGCCCCCCTTTGCGAGAGGCCTTCACGGACAAGGGGCTCCAAAGTCAGGCCAGCAAGATGCACAGCTAAGGGTAACGACAGGTACAAGCCTTGAAGATTGCCGCTTGCGTGCGTGAGTTTTCTGGCTATTGACAGCTTGCATGCTTCTTTCCTGAAGATTTCGCACGAAGAGCACGATGCTTGGCAGATGCACCCAAAAGCCACGTGCTCATCTTGCGGATTGGTCCCCAAGCCCTCAGCTGTTCCAGGCGAAGATGGGTGCGTTGCTGTCCGTTGCTTCTGCACTACTCGACAGGGTCCCAGAACACTTTGTGTTTGTCTGTCATGGGCAGGCAAAGGACCTGTCCTAAGTCATGCTGTCTTTGCATGCAGCGCTTTGAACGTGCTGGCAAGCACAGGCCTTCCTCATCAAATTTGGAGGAGACAAGCTCTTCCACAGAAAGAAGTGCGTTGAGGTGAGGGTGTGTGCAGCTCCATCTTCCAGCTTGCATCAGCCAGCGCGCATCAAGCGCATCTTCTGAAAGCCAAGCAATTGCCTTCCAAAGGGTCTGCAGAAAGATCAGCACCGTGAAGTGGAAGTGAATCAGGTGGAGACAGAGACCGAAGTGGAGGTAGTTTACTCTGATGACGAGGTGGAGGCTGTGCCATTTGCAGTGCTCCAATGAATTTAAGAAGCTTAGACCAAGACACATCACAGATGGGCCAGGCAGATGAGTGGCTTGATGTTGTGGCCATGAACGACATCATGCAGGCTCTTCCACGCTTCCCATGCTTCCTGCTGCTCCGTGTGTCTTGAAGCAGAGAGCGAACAGATGACTGCCTCGACCAGACTTTTAAGGATCTTGGTTCTTCTTGTCCCATTTCACGTGCTGCTCCGAAACTTGCTCATGGCTGAATTGTTTGGGGCTTTGCCACAGCGGGCCACTCCAAACATCGTAGCTTCCATGTCCTTTTCCATTTGTCACATGGGAGAAATGGATACTACTACATAGGGTGCAATGAAGGCGATTGCTTGTATTCTGTTGATAAATTGCCTTGGCCCAGAGAACCAGGATGTGTGTGTACAGTTATCATGATGAGGGACATGCACTGCAAGAGAGCGAGACAGTTCCGAATTACAAAGCTGATGCAGGTGCTCTGGACACAGCGAAAGTACCAGGCCATGGATTGAAGCGGTTGTAGGAACAAGACGTAGTCTAAGCTGAGAGAGTGTAAGTTCGAGGGCAAGGATGGTCACACACGAAACCTTTACCGTGCTGGCTGTCGCGGGTCTGTGGCAGTCGATCTTGAAACAAAGTTTCTTGGGGTACACTGCCCTCTGCATCCTGGAGCAGGCTCGTGGAACTGCTCTTCCCATCCGCCAGCTCGTGCGGCCAAACTGGCATGGCATCGTCCTCTTTAGGGCGCACCTCAGTGTAAAGGCTTTTGTTGCTGAGTACAGGGTGGTGCAGCTTGAGCCTTGTATCGCTGTGCTTGCACCGTAGCTGGGAGATGGCAGGTCTGTCAGCAAGAACAGCACCGCTTGGAATAGGCCAGGGCAGTTCATGATGTGTCGGGAGAGCAATGCACAGCACAGGATCGTTGCTTGTTTCCAATCTCCTTCCAAACGCCATTCACGTGAGAAGCCATTGCATGGGTGTATCTTCAGGAGTGATTTGGAGGGTCGCAGTAGCGCCGGGAGCTCATATGCCGTTTTCAAGTGCTGGTTGGTTTCGAAAGACGAAGCATCCACGCATCCTGGCCATCAATTTGAGGCATGGGGACGCCTTACAACTCCAGGGAGCAAGGACGGCAAGGAAGACTTGGCAACAAGGAGAAGCTGTGTGTTGCAGCAAGGCATGAAGGATATGGGACGAGATTCACAGAACTCGCACATGCCAGGATTTCCAAAAATTCCAAGGATGGCTCAGCGGTGCCCTAAGCGGATGCAAGCTAGGCGCTTGAAGTTTCATGTCCGCGGCTTTGGGGTTCAACGCTTGAACTGAGGCCACCAGAAGCACTAGCAAGGACTGAGCAACGGTGAGAACCACGTACGGCTTGGATGAATCCTGTGCTCCGGGTTGCCTTCACAGCAGTGTATGAGTGGATGGAATGGATGGAGTGGATGTAGGAGGCAACCAAGCCACGCATGCAGACGGCAACCCTAACAAAAATGCTGTAATTCTCGGCCTGGAAGAATCCTTTGGCCTGGACTTAGCTTAGAGAGTCGGCATGGCTTGCTCCCCATGTGGGCACAGGCAGCGCTCGATGGAAAAGACTTTGGAGCTTGCAGGTGGAACGTGCCGCCACAGTAGGGGCCGCAAACCTGGCAAAAAGATCCTCCAGATTCCTTACATTCGGCTTCTTTCGATGTTCCGCCTCTGCTGGTGCGTGGTACGATGTGGCTGGGCTGCAGCCCAGTCCGCATACTCATGGATCCCTTAGTCCCGGCAGGCTTGGCAAGCCCAAGCCAGTGCCCAGAATTGGAGGCGTTCCCAAGCTGCACAACCTATCAAGTAGCTGATTTCTGTCGCCCTTACGGATTGAGGGAACGTGAGGCTCTCAGTTTAAATCCGAGCCTGAGCTTGGAGCTCTGTGGTAGCCCAGGGAGCCTTTGAGTTGTGGCCAAGGCCAAGGCTCCCGGATCTTTAAAAGGCCCTTTGTGGCGACAGTTTCCGCAAGGCGCTGCCACGTTACGGAGATTTGCTTTCAGTGCCTGAAGTGGCTCACTGAAGGTGATGCCCCCCTTCTTTTCCTTTCCTACCCCAGCCTTTGAGGGCTGGGACAGTGAATTTCCAGATATGTTGTCAAGGGACTTGCAGGGCGAGCAATGAAGAGACGTCCAGGTTCAGGGTTGTAGAGAGTAGAGTAGAGTCCTAACGAGGGTATGCAGAGGGAAAGGCATTTAGGCTGCGGACGGCTATCCTTTTCTGACATTTTCTGGGTCTTCTCAGATTCGCAGCTGGCAAGCTTACTAGGTTGCGTGGTAGAACTCTTGCAGGTATATCGCCGGCCAAGAAATGCGCAGTCTCTTGATAAGTCTAATGAAGCGAAAGAATAGCCGGCTGCAAAGCAGCAAGCTGTGGGATGCAGTGGTGGGAGTACAGTCTTTCTCCATGCTTGGAATATGAGTTCATGTACCTCACTGAGGATGCGAAGAGGTGTAATAGAGGCTTGGCATATGCTATGCTGACCGGCTTCAATCGGTTAGTCCATCAGTGCTCTTCAGACGTGAGTTTCGTGCATTCCAACCGCAGCTTCCAGATAGTCCATCAACGGATCTTGCCACTGCCTCCCTCAAATCAATTTTGCATCTTTACGAATAGGAACTTTAGCTACATATGGGCCAGTTCGACTGCAGGTCGAGTCGCAGATGAAATGTTTAATCAAGGATTCGGCCATGAGCTGTTAAGCTCATCGAGCTTCTACTGAACTAGTCGCTTCGTCGCGCTGGCTAGGACCATCCTAGTGTCACCGGGAATTCGTTACAGGATGTGGTCAGACTGCAAGCGTGATCTTTGGCCTGCGTGTGTCGTTTGGCGGAGAAAAGCTCGTCGCTGCTTGAAGTCAAGACGCACCGTCACGCAAAGTGGCAAAGTGGCAGAGGCCTGACATGGTCAGCAGCAGATATATTTATCTAAGCTCGACACCACACGACACTTGAACGCAATGCAAGTCCTCTGAACTGACTGATTTTTGCGATGATCGGAAACTTTGCCAGGCAGTGCAGCCAGGCGAGCTGGTGAGGTTGGGGCATTTTGAGTGCTCTTCTTCTTATGTCAAAGGCTTGTTGACTGGTGTGCTGGGTGTTGCATGCCAGGGTTTGTGAGCGAGGGCTGCTGGGCCAAAAGCTGTGGCTGGATCCTCAGAACTGGCCAGGCCAAATAGACAATCATGAGCCAGAGGCTAGTGACTCAGGCTTTGCCTTGGGGATGGCCGGGGATGGCTTCTGGAGAAGCCTCTCGGCCGCAGCAAGCAAAGCGAGCGTGATGCATGGGCTTGCTGGCCGATGCTGGCCACACCTTGGTAGGTCCAGCAGACGGCACGTGTCGGAAGTGAGCAATGAGGGCAAGGTGACAAAGGCGCCGGCAGGTAGAAGTCCAAGCAGAGCGATGCAGAGCGCATGATCGTGCTCAGCTCGCAGGGCACGAAGCTCATGGTCGACCCACGATTGGAGAAGCCGGAACAGCTGGCATGAGTTGGGATGTGGAGCCATTCGCGAGCACGGGGATCGTTCTTGCCGTGGTGTGCACACAATCAGGGACGCATCAAGTGCCTGAGCAGCTCAGGTCAAGATCTTGCCTGCGCCCTATGCTTTTGGTGCTGTCAGCGGGGCACCCGAAGTGACCAGGACTCAGATCGCAGCTGGCTGCTTTACCATGAAGTTCTTTTGTATTGGTTTCCAAGACATGAAGTTCCACCTCCTGCCTGTTCAAAGGCTTGCCGGGTCTGTGGTTGACGTGCTTCGCCAGGCCATCAGAATTTGTGACCCCTGCCCAGGGGTAGCATACTGCAGCCATAAGAAGTGCTGCCGTAGAAAGGATCATGAGTTGCCGGTCATGAATGCCTGACATGGGCAGATTTGCCTTGTGACTAGTGCCGTGGAGCCTTGCCGTTATGATGCGGCGAGGTGCAGGTGCTCGTTCCGTCTCCCAGTGACCGCAACAAAGAGAATTGGGCGCGGTACTACAAGGCAAGGGAAGGGAGGGGGGTTGGAGGCAGATGGAGGCGTCTTCAGTATCTGTAAGGCGCAAATTGGATGCAGGTGGAAGACGAGCGCCGTGTGGAGGGTTGGCTGGGCGAGCTGAGGCAAAGAGAAGAACGGAGAATTTGTGCAGGGACCTGGGATCCTCCATGGAGCAAACATGGAATCTTATAATATCTTATAATTCATGGGATCCCACGTTAAGGCTTGCTAGATGAAACCCAAAAGTGTGTGACGGCGCGGGTTTTTAGTGCAATCCAGCTGCTTTCAAGCTGTAAGTCGACTTTTGCTTGCCAGGGTCCACTGTGGCATCAAAGATCCCGGTCCCGGGGAGACCGTCCTTTGCGAGTTTCAGGCTGTACATTCTTTGGCCGGTTTCTTTAACTTTCGTCTTCTAGCATATTGTAATAAGTAAATATCGATTACTTATGAGTGCTGGCTTAAGCCAATGTATCTGAGCTCCATGCAGCGTCTCGTGCTGCCTGCGTAATTCATCCATCACTGCAGCATTCCGCGGTGACGTTGGCATCTTTTCTTGGTGGAGGTGATTGACACACGCCGCCATTGATTACTTGAGCATAGTAGTCACTTCCAAGTAGGACTTTCCAGTCTTTTGCAGGGCGGTGGTTTTGTGGATCCCAAGTTCCGCGGCAAGTGTCGGCCTTGAAAGGGTGTGACAGAAGGCTGCAGAGGGGTTCTGAAGCGAGCAATGGCAAGCGCTGGTCATGGACAGCACCGGGGGGGATAACTTGCATCTAGAAGCCGGTACTTTGTCGACTCAGGTCTTGCTGGGTCTCTGTGGTTTCGAAGAACAAGGTCTCTTTGTTGGCTGCTCCTGCAAGGAGCTTGTCGGATTCAGGTCATATTATCAAGTCAACTTTGAATCCGTAGTGTGAATTTGAAGAGCATGATGGCCAGAAATCAGGAACTCATGTCCACGAGGCAGACGTCAGATTTTCAATGCACAGCCTTGAAAGGGCCCAAGATCCCTTAGCGCAGCCACTTTTAGCGCAAGAGCTGCGCTTTTTATAAGGCAGCAGTCCAACTGCCTGGCAGGAAGCGGGCCACCAAGAAGGACCTGAGCCCCGGTGACTTCGTTGAGGTGGGGGAGTCCCATTCAAGATCTATTTTAACGAACGTGCCACAAATCTGTCCAGTTTAAAGTCCGCAGGCTGTGGAGGAACTCCGCGTTGCCGGGGTCACATTCTACAGGTCCGGACCCAAGACCACAAGCTAACCATGGAGAGCCACGCAGAGGGGTGCTGCTAAGGTATTATGGGTACTGATGGGCAGTGTGGGGATCATACATGTGCATGCCTGGTTCTACATACACACATCAAAACAAACGCATTTGTTGCGGGTGCCTTCTGCCTAGGCTGGTGGACGGCTGTTGGGTCTGCCGTGAAGACAATGCTGGCAAGGTGTGTGTTCGGTCATTTCAGTTCTGTTTGACTGTGTCGTTGCCTGACTTTTGCAGATTAGTTGAGCGTGCGTGTTGTAAGTCTGGAGGGCACTGCATGAAAGAAGGTGATGAGAGAAGAGGAGAAGAGTGCATGAGGGTATTGTACTTGAATCTATGGGAGAGTGCGGGCATTGGATCATTGGACTCTGACCCAACCCAGACCACAGGAGTTGACAGGATAATTTGGATAACGTACAGTACAGCTCTACAAGTTTGCGAGATGAGCTCTGGTCCCTTGTGAAATGCCAGGTTGTGTGCGACCTGGTGGTGCGGGAGAGGCACAAGTGGATCTACGTCTGCAACGACAAGGACCTGTCGTGGCAACACTTCGGAACACCAAAGAGACCTATAATCATTTCGTATGAGGATGGCGCACAAGTTCGCACAGCGCCGACGCGCTCCCAAGCCCGAAACGCCAACAAGAAGCTCAAATACAGGTGGCTACGTGATGCTATGGGCATTTGTTGTCGCATTCAAGCAGAAACTTCGTAAGCCTACATGGCAAGCTGGAGGGCGCGGGTGGTTGTCTCCGAAAAGGTGACGCTTTCAGATGGTGATGCCAGCCCCTCAGTGGCCGCAAAGTGGGTTGTATGGCGAAGCGGATTACAAACTTCGCACCTTAATTCTGCTCTGGGCATGTCTCGCCCCAGCTCAGGTCTTTCTGAAGCTTGGAGAAGAGAAGAAGGGCCCGGAGCCCGGAGCTTGCTTGCGCATCTCCGTCTATTGCGAACGCGGGGCATAGCTGGCATGGCAGTGGCCTCGCCCGTCTTCAAAGCCAGGCTGGGTTCCAGCAACAAAGCTCAACTCCTCGGTGGTGAAGATGGCCTGGGCTTTAGCGGCCTGGGGAGAGTGGACATAGAAGAGCCTCCAAAGCCTTCAGGCTCCCTTGAAGGCGCTGGAGGAGACTGCGCCGGGGCCCAACTTGCTGGGTTTCTGCATGGCACAACTCTGACTTAACCCCAGGGCCCCACCGTCTCGGCCCATGCCGGTCGTGGGCTCGGATGGGCATGACGAGCGCCGGGACGAAGGAAGAAGTGCTCCTTCTGGGGTGCTGGGCCTTGAGCTGGAGCAGTGTGAATTTTGCATAAATTGTCGATAGTTGGCCTGTAAGTGGCTCAGGGAAAAATACAAATGCGAAGCGAACATGTCGGAAGATCAAGGTCTTGAGTTGAAAAACAGGCTGCAACCAGGTTGTAATGGATACTGCAGGTTAATCATCTACAGAGTGTGTTTAGGCTCGAGGCCTGTGTTCTCGCTACCAGGCTTGCAACGGCTATGCTGCGCCACCGCCTATGCCCATGCCACAGTCGCAGCCTCAACGACGCCAATGAGACAACGATCTGCCGGTCCAGCTGCTCCAGCACAGGGGCTTGTTAGCAGACATGCTTGCACCAGCGTATCAGCACGGGCAGGCAGAGCATTCTTCACTTTGGCTTTCTTTCCCAGGAAAATAAGGCTGTTTTGATACACGTTCGTTGAGGATGAAATTGCACAGGGGTCATTAGGGCCTGAGATGCCAGTTCTGAGACGGGCATCCGGCTCAGGAGCGTCAACGGCACGGTCCCCAGCATTTCCTCCTGAGCCCATGGATGCAGTCCATCAGCCTCGACATCATTCGCAAAGCGCGTTATGCGCAGGACTTGTGCCAAAGAAACTTTTTCGTTCAGCGCGAGCTGACAAAACGGCTCTTGACCTTTGGCTTCCAAGGTTACGCAAACTGTGGCGGCTGTGGGCAAGGCTACACAGCGCAGAGCTACTGCACGCAGAGCTACAACGTGGGCTATGGGGGTGCCATGTCGGCTGCTCTGACCATGCTACTGTACTTAATGAATGCTAGTGCTAGCGTTTTGGGATTCATTGTTGCAGTATTTGCAGTTCTTCAGGCCGCAAGCCGACTTCGGCGTGGGGGTCGGGGTTGGGCACCAAGCAGTCAGCGCGGTCAGCGCGGCTGAGAGAGCTGCTTGTCAGAGTTCCCCACTGAGCTCTGCTTCGAAGGCTGCTGGGCCCGCAGACTTTGGGATGGGTGTGTGGGTCTCAGCAAAGGGGTTGTCCGATCTGCTTGACTTGCTCACCTGGAAGTTGCAATGAGCCCCAGAGTTGGACTCCAAGCAGCAAACTCTAGAGTCGATGAGGCCTTGTTGCATCCCGTCCTTGTGGGAGTCACTCTCCTCTTGATACTATCAGCATCTTTGTCGGCATGTCTCTGCAGCCCTCGAATAGTCGGTCTGACCGTCCACCGTACTCGTACGCGTTGGGTTAGGGTTGAGGGCTTACGGTCAACGTCTTGGGCTCAGCCCTGAGGATTTGGGAGTGTAAGGTCTAGCTCATACTCAAAGTACGTAAGCGGAAATAGTCCCAAGAATAGTTACTTAAGCCTTTTAGATTTTAGAAGCAACAACCCACACGTTCTGAGGAAGAGCACAGGGATCCCGGTCTGGGGGATCCCGGTCTGCATCCTCCCTCATCCCTCTCATCCCGTGGTGAAAAGATGGCACCAGGATCATGCAGTGTGGCGCTTCCCTCCGTGGGGGGGGGAACAGTTTGGGGCTTAGGAGCGTTGGCTGTCGAACTTGACCGCCATGAGATGTTTTTTTGTCCAAGAGGTCTTGCAGCCGCAGAAGCAACTCTCAGATCTGAGCTCTTCTGGAGGGCCTTGTCCCTGCTTTGCAAGCAGAGGACGGAAGACAATGACAGGCATCAGTTTCAATGCCGACATGGAGCGTTTTCGACCTTTGGATTCCAGCACAGACTGGGGCTCACAGCACTCCCACCCCAATAGGGAAGCAAAAGATAAGGGGTGAGTGTGATGCCTCATCCCCAAGACTCGTGCTAAAAGATCCTATAGCCACGTCCTGCATCTCGAGGCGTTTGGTCCTGGAAATGGAGGCGGTGATTTCGGTCTTGGAGCCACCCCAATGCCTGGGCCGATGCCCGGCCCCGTGCCCGGGCCCATGCCCGGGCCCATGTCTGGGCCGATGCCTTCGGCCGCGGGGTGGCCCAGTGTGACAACTGCAAGAGCATGGTGAGCATGGTGATATCAAGTTTGCCTCGCAAATTGTTGACCCGGACTAGGCTCCCTTTCCAACGCCTTCGGGTGGTGACTTTGGCCTTGCACCCGCCGGTACCCAAGGCATTCAGGCATGATCTTCCAAACTCTTTGCACGATTCCTAGGCCGGACCTGGTTACACTCAGATGTGTCAGCCTTAGCAAATGATGCGTGGGAAGTGCAAGCCTGGCTGCAAGCTGCATGGAGGTCAACATCGGCCTTGAGCCCAGTCGAGAAGCAGATGGCAGTTTTTGTGGTGCCACAGCTGGCGGTGTATACTGCGTGCTCAAACCTATCCTAGCATTCTTAGCATAGCAATTGACCAGGCACCCAGGTTTGTATGGAGCTGGTATCAGGCGGCTAGAATCATGTCAGTGCTTTTTTGTACAGATTGCAATTCATCTTCCAAAATCCTGTAGGTGAACGGGTGGGGTGCTCCTGCAACAATGGCACCGCATCGTCCCCGGAATTGACTTATTTTGACGAAGGGTTTCTCGAAGCGTGTGGTCTTCATTCTCGGCGAATCGGAATGTCGGCGTAGGGGTCCATTTGTACTGCATCATCAAAATGAGTCTGTGGGCTCAGGCCAATGCAGGCTGGCGTTCGCAGCTGAGACTTTTGCAGGCAACGGACAGACATTGAATTGTTCAACCGCAAAGGCAGCCTGGGGCGGTGGCATGGGAAACACAGGCTATGGCTACGGAGCCATGTAGTTTGGCACCCAGCACTTCCCTTTTAGAAGGGATGAGTCTGGGGCTGGAGCCAAGGTGATGCGTGGCGGCCTCAAGGCTGCATCGATTCTGCCAATGACTGACTGCGAGTTCAGTTTCATCATAAGCGTTTAACATAACGAGAGTTGCAGGGGGCAAGGGCAGCTGGCCTCTGCCTCCGTCAGCTGGTCTCCGGGAATCACTGGTGTACAACGTTGTACAACTGGACTCCAGCGTAGAAGGTTCCGGTCCACGCGGGGGCCCGGAGCCGCTTGGCCTTGAACCTTCCCAGCATGTCAACTCAACCGAAGCACTGGAGCTGAAGCAGCTGAAGCAGCTGGGAGGGGCAGGTCTCCATGTAGGCTTTATGGCGTGTCTCGGAGTGAGGATGGAGGCTGCCAGGATGAGCTTCGTCTCTGCGATGCCAAGCATCGCAGACCAGGAGCCTCGGCACCACGTGAGTCAAAGGAGCGGGAAGGGGGCCGACTTTGAAGGTGTGTATGCCAGGCTGTAAGGTCTCCGCGCAGATGTTGACCCGCCATGGAATTTGGGATCTCTCAAGCGAAGAGCAGCAGCAGGCATTCCTTGTTTCACGCAGCCAGTTCACAGCGTTCACCCCCACTTTCACCTGACGTACCCTGACCCCTAGAGCAACTGCAGCTCGTTTGTTTGAAGCATGGCGCCTGTCGCGGGGCGGCCACACTCGCATGTGCCGTTCGAGGCCTGGGGTACCGCAGTCTAGAGCATGGGCAGTACAAAAAGCCTCTCGACTTGCAGGCCTCGCCGGTCCAGGACACTCTGGTTCGTGGTGCCCCCGCTTTGGAGCCCCTGATCAGGTGCGGGCAGTTGCTTGAGGGCCAGTAACCTTCTACCAAAAGCTTGCAGGAGAAGCAGTGGGCTCTCTCAACTCACCAAGGCCAGTAAGGGTGCGAAAGCAGCACCGGGTAACTAAGTAGCAGGGTGGTAAGAGGAATTCGTTCAACTCGTGATGCCAGATTTGTGGAATGACTACCTTTTCAGCGCTGCAACATTATTGCTCACTCGTCCACATGTCTCCTCAGGACATTCTGGAAATGCTTCGACGAGCTCCAGGAGGAGGACTCAGCACTTTCGATGCCGGCACTTTGTTGAACACAGTTTCCAAGCCGATGCAGTGAGTGTGCACTTGCCAATTTGCAGGATACTCTACCAGCTCGGCACAGAAGCCAGGCAAGCTTCATTGATCAACTGAGATGCTGTCTCGGACTGAAGGAAATGATTTGGCAGGGCAGATGGAAGCACTCCAAGGCGAGCCTGAAGAACTTGTGGTCCAGGCCTCAGTGATTTGATCTTCTGATATTTTGTTTTGTGGATCTTGGCTTTCTCTGCATTGTTCCAAGCAGGCCCTGGCGGAACAAGCCGTGGCATTGGAGGAGTTGGAGGACTACAGCTTGCATTAAGAAGTTCTGTTTTGGAGATCGAGCCCAGCAACTCTTCGTGCAGTTGCTCTCCAGGCTTGTGCCGTCATCATTCACAACCAGCTGCGTGATGCAGGACAGCATGCAGCTCAAGTGGTCGCGTGATGACCGTGAGGCAGCCTTCCAGAGGCCCATGTCGCGCAGCTGTGCAGTAGTTTTTTACCCGAAATTGCAGCAGGCGCAGTTCTGCTTCTCATCCACTAGCAGATTGGGTTCTATCGCCGTCGCATGCGCTGACGTAGGCTGGTACAGAGCGACATTTGCTCTGCGCAGGCTCGGTCGGTGTGTGTACTGTTGGGTGGCGGGGTCAGGCTTGTCAGTTCCTTTCTGCCCTGCGAGAGGCCCTCTTGTCCGTGCTGAACGATCGCCCTCCTGGGGGCAAGCGCCGCAGCTGCGACGTGAGTGCTGTTGCGTTGTCAGCGCAAGCCAACTCTCCACAAGATTCACTGTCAGAAAGCACGGCAACCTCTGCGCAACGCGCTGCTCACGACATGTGCGGTCGTTAGTCCCAGGTGCAAACTGAACCAGCTGCTCGAAGACGGTGGCTGCCGGGGGTTGAAGGCGCCAGTTTTTTAACTGTCGGACCTGGGAGCTCGAGAGCACCACCAGGGCGAAGCCTTGCCGTGGCTTGCAGAGCAGCTCGAGGCCGCTGTGCAGCCAACTGGTTTCTGGAATTCCTTCGAAAAAAGGGGTTTTTTCCAGGTCCGCGTTCGGCAAGGCATCGAAGTGTCCGTGGAGGGCAGCCAGCCCATCCTCTTAACGGCCCTGGCTTCAGAGGGTTGCCTACTCTACCAGTGCTGTTGGACTTGCAACCAGTTTTCAGCTCACATGTCTGTTTTCAGATGTTGAACATGCACGCTCCTCCCGATAGGGTTTGCTCTTTGGAATTATAAATGCAAACTCTCCATCCAGTGAGAACAAAGCTCCCGATTGTTGCATTTTCGTCCAAAACAAACCCGTAGCTCAAGGCATCTTTTCAATTCGATGAATGTTCTCATCTAGAACTGAACTCGACCGACCGAACCGATTACTTACCTAATCTTTCTTCTCCACTGCCTAGGTTATGTTTTCTCAGACCAACCGATTCCTCTATCTGATGGAGTTAAGTACTGAGGAGTTTATTTGGACCCGCTCACTAATAATAGACGTGAGTGAGTTCTGCTACAGGGTCTCCCAAGCCGTTGCGGCCTCTAAACCGCTTCGTCCACTACTAGGCCACTTTGTCGCCTTCTTCATGGAAACCCAGAGTTCATAGATTTGCTGTGCAATCTATTCTCCTATACGCCATGGACAGTGCCAAATTAGCTTCTTTACAAATTGCCATGATCAACAGTGCTCATCTTAAGTTTACCTGCAGAATTTAAGTCTGTTCGTTACTACAGGATTCTCAACCCCTCTTCTGAGGATTGCTCTAATGAATAATTGGCGGGCCTTTCATATGAGGGTCGAAGAGTCATAACCCCTGCCAAATTTATTCCCAGAATCGACTCACCTGACCAGTCTCGAAAGATTCCTTGTCCCGTTTCCATGCACCGCTTTGTGGGACGGCTGGCTTCTAAATGCAAACGGCATGGAGCGATGCATCATGAAGTAGTGCCAAACAAAATGAATCAACGCGAAGAAAATACCATCAACATCCATAAGCTGTGCTGGGGCCGCCTAGACTGTACAGGGATGTCGGGAAAAGTTGCTGGATGAGAAGGGCGGAGCGGCTGCAGGACTAAGTTGCTGACCACAGGCGAGGAGTTCATCCAGGTACTTCTTAGCGAGCTCAAGAGCGAGGCCGAGAACTTTATGGAAAGGGTCGGGCCTGGCTTTCGCTTTGTAAGCCGCGTCGTTTCGCAGGCCCAGGAAGTCGTGCTCGATTTGGGGAAGTTCGCTTCAGACGCAGCAAGGGTGGTCTTGAGTTTTGTCAAAGGTTCGGCGATAGAGATTGCGGAGCTTTATGGTGCTTTCAATGCCATGGCGAAGATCTTTCCTGAGAAATAGGATGTCCGGAAGATCAAGGAGAATTTTGATAGCGCCGTGCACAAGTTCAGGGCTGCCTCGCAACGGAGATCTTCATGGACCTGCCATTGCCGATCTCGGACACTTCAGAGCTTGTGCCTGCCACAGTTCATGCAGAAGCCGCTGGCAGGCAGGCTCCACCGGCTGTCAGGGTTCAGACCATGTGATCCCCCAGCTTGCTGTAGACATGCAGTCCGTTGGGCTGAAACTGGAAGATGTGCTGGACACCAAGGTTTCCTTGGTGCAAGCCGGTCAGAATGTCATTCACGAGTTCCTGCGCGGTCTGGGGACGGCCGAGATTGAGATCGACAGGGACGACCTCCCGAGTATTCCTCTGGTGACTGCAAAGGCCCTGCCCTCCGTGAGTCTGGGCCTTGGGTTGGGCGCAGACTTCGACCAGCCCGGTGGCGGCGCGTTCGACCTGGGCTTGACCTCAACGGGGTGAGGAGGATAATTTCGGCTGTCTGTTACGTCCTTTATGTTGAAACACGCTTTTCTGCGCGCAGCGTGTTCCAGTGAGAATGTTGATAATGTTTTCTGTTGAATTGTGAAGCGCAGCAGATTCCGATGTCCAATTCGTTGCGGGGGGACGTCAAGAAACCGGTGGTTATGCCTTGATTTTCGATCGGCTTCTCGATCGAAGCGGCGCAGACTGACGCGGCCAACGGAGACATAGGGCTCAGCATTTCTGGCTCGGCGTCGCGCCGATGCTGCTTCCCAATGGCAGCGCAGGCATGCTGCGGACACCCTTGGTGTGGATCCGCGCGACGCCTTGCGCCGCTGTCCCTCTGTCTTGAAGAACTATGACACCGTCGCCGCGCTGGTGCAGCAGCAGGAGCGGCGCGCTTCAAAGTTTTTGAGCGCAGAGGAGCTGGGGGCTGGAGCGGGGCCTCATGGGGCATTGACCTAAAGCACACGTGTACGTCAGTCTGTCCCGTTGCTTAACCCGATTGACACGGAGGGATGCCTTTGAGGCGACCTTCGGTGCAGGGGCCGGTCAGAACATTGTTGTCCCGCCTTTGCAGGAGGCTGAGCTCCTCACCACGCCCAGGAGCGGGGCTGGGCACCACAAGTGACAGTTTGCAGCTTTTGAAGTTGGCTCTCCATGTAATATGGCATTGGCTTAAACTTCTAATCGCGCGACAAGATCTACCGTTGGAAAGCGTCTGCAACCTGGCGAATGTTGCCAGGGTCAAAAGAGAACGCCCTGACCTTAGCGACGCGTGTGGCGAAGCGCAACCTATAATTAGCGTGGTGAACTCAGTGCCTAGAATGGGCCCAGAACGCGGAGTGCGAGAAAGCCGCGATGGAATGCTACAATGCGAACCGGGTATAACCTCACTTCATGACCGGCTTGTGTCGGTCGACGTGTAGAAAGATATCCTGCCGCGATCAGGTGGAGTGCTGCCACCCAGCAGGCGCTGGAAGCATGTGGTCGACGAGGAACGGGGCGTGAACTTCTTTAGCAAGCTGTGCCGACAATAGGCTGGAAGAAGTGCAATGACAATAGGCTGGAAAAGCGCACTCCTGGTAAGGGCCTGGTTGGCTTGTACCGACGAAAGTCCAACAAGTGGTCCTCCGCTGTGTCGGCCAAGTGTTGCTCAGCCTAGTAGCCAGACGCGTCTCAGAGGTGTCATGTTTTGGCAGGAAGGGAATAAAAAGGCTGCTTTCCACCTGGGCGGAATGTTCCAATTTTCAGCTGACGACGAAACGTGGGATTCCGGTTCGTCCGCCACACGTGGCAGTATCTCGCGCTGCAGGGGGTGGGCTTTGGCAAACCAGTTTTTCTGGCACGCTTGTGGAAGTTCTGTGCTGCATGTACAGCTGTGGCGTATGCCTATTTTTTCGTCAAGTGCTCGCAAGGCGCTGCCGATCTTGCACTTTTGGCCATGGCTTCGGGATCGAAAAGTGGCCCAAAGATTCGCCTCAAGCGTGCCAGTGATGGCCGCGCCTGAGGAAGAGATAGCATCTGCAAACTATGAAGGCGAGGGCAGCGATGCTAACATTGTCAGGGTGCATCATGCGGTGTCCTGCAATCTGCAGTGTTGGCTTCAAGCGCAGCATTGTGCCTTCATATAGAGATTTGATGACGGTCAAATCCTCGAAGTGCCACCGCAGGTGACCTTCAAGCCTTTCCCGAGGCAATACACCTTTGACCGTTGGCTGGGGTACAAGGATCAGCGTGAGGATTTGGATTGCTGTGTTGGGCAATGCCCTTTTCGATGCTGCAACTGGAGACTACAAACGCTGCAAAAAGAACGAGCGCTCCCCAAACAAACTCGGAAGCCATAGAACTCCTTTAGACCGAGGCCCCCTTAGTACTTCCTATCAACAGCAGTCGGTTGCTGCTTCCAGAGCACCCGGGCAGGTGAAAAAGAAGGATCGTCAAGAAAAGGAGGCCAAGAAGCGGCACCAGAAGAAGAAAAATAAACTCAAATTCAAACGCGCTCGCAAACACGAGCGCGAGCAGGATGAGTAAGTGTGCCTAACCACCTTCCCCCCATAAAGATTTACCACCTGCTAAAAGTGGTGCTTGTGGAGATGAAACTTGTGATTATGAGGGCTGGTGGTACTTAAATTCATTCTTCCCAAATAGCATGGAGATGCCAAAGCAGGCCCTGCAAAAACCGCTGTCCGGTAAATGTTGCTTCGACAAGGGCTTGGAATTTGAGGGACCCCTTTAGGGGACTGAGTACATGGCAGCCCAAATTCGTATGCGTCAGGGTTCAATGTTACCCCAGATCCATCTCAGCCCTGTCCTATGCCCTTTTGCGCCAAACAGATGTAAATTCTTGACCCCGATTCTGCAGCCCGCAAGCCCCAGGCGCTATCCGGCGTACCTACATGATGATGCGTGTAATTATGGGATAGTGGACCGCGATCCTATCATGGTGCGCAGTGAAGGACTGCTTGTGATAGCCGCTAAGCCCTAAACCCAAAGCCCCAGTGCCATGGGTTCCCTTACCACCCGACCAAACCTAATCTTCTTAGCTTCCCCCTCACTTCGTTATCATGCTTGACTCAAAAAGCCTAAGCGCGGAAAATCTCACAGCATCCCCGTGCCCACCGGAGAGTCATTACGTGCTCTACAGCAAAAACCGTCCAAGCAAACAGCAACATCAACGCTGTATCATCTCCGCACCATTTAAAACGATAATATGCTCCCAAGCCCTGTAACTTGCCATGCCCTACATCCGTAACCAACATAGCCGGAACTAAATAGTTGTTTCCCAGCAAACACCTCTTGTAGGTCAGGGTCCTGCCTAGCAGCACATGGTTTTGAGCCTCATTGTGTGGCTACCCTACAAGGCCCCAAACTGCGTTGCTGTTAAAGCACTTCAATTAAGTTACTATAATAAAGAAACCCCATTCTTTACTATATACCCATTATAATCGGTTAACTTAAAGCCCAAAACCCTATACCCTCAACCTTACATACCCATATTATGGTAACTTATTTTAAGTTTCTCAACAGCAAGCTCGGAAATTGCAAGCCGCAACCTCGGTAGTTGGGTTGTTGTGTCTCCTCTAGCTGCTGCTGCCTTCCCGTCGTAGGTTGTGGTTTTTAATGTTTTCTTGCTTTTTGGTCACGTGCTACGTCACTGAGAACTTCATGAAGTTCCTTGCCTGTGCTTTGCCCGTTTGGGGGTATTTGCACCTCAAAGTTATGTATTCAGCAAGTTGCAGCCGGCCTGCTGCTGGAGGCCCCTCACAACATTTATTTGCGCAGAGATGGCCGGCCACCTCATGTGATGGAGGACCCTGCTTGAATGGTTATTCATGAAGACTGCCTGGGATGTTCCAAGAGCCGGGGATAATATCCCAGGAGTACACAACTCTGATCGCTCAGCGGATGGCCAGACATCTTGGTTGGGACCCTAGCTAGTTCGCATGGCACCGGCTTGCAATCCTAGATGTCGCTCTAAGATCCTTTCGCGGGTCAGGAGCTTTGCACGCGGTGAATCTCAGGTCAGGCAATGGGTCTCGGTGTAAGAGTCAGGAAGTAGACACTTCCACTGCGCTGCCTACCTCTGCAGTGGCGACACTTACTTCGATGCAATGCCTGCTAGTTGGTAAGTCTTTACAATTCAGAAGGTTTTCTGCTAATCCCACTCAGGCGGGACATCGCTTTCCTGGAGCAGGGCAGAGCAGAAGAGGCCAGTTTTGATCAGCTTTGAGTATGGGCTGTGTTGTCGGCTCGGTTTTGATTTGCAGGATTGACCTGAGGCGTAAGCTGTTGTCAGCAGCTCTTGGCGTCATAGGTTGTGAGTGCTGCTTTACTGTTCGCGGGCCAGAAGACAAGTTGATTGATTGTTTCTTTGGATCACGCGGGCCTAAAGATCTTGCAATCATGAACTCTGCAGGGGTTCCCAGTCAGCACAACGAGGTCGCCACAGCAGTTGACCATGCCTTCCATAGTTTTGGCTTAAGCTTAGTTTTTAGGATTTCATGCTGAGGTCCGTTTGATGGCTTGTGTTGGATGCGGATTCTCAAGGTGTACGATTATGATATGCTGCATGTTGGCTGCGTAGAGAAGACACAATGTGCACAAGATACTTTAATGCCGGTCACAGTAGGCGGGAAAGGTCTTGCGTGGGGAGATCACAGACATCATATCATTGAGCTGTTGCCTTAGCTAGACAGATGAGTTTCCGAGCCCTGAGCCCTAAATCCCATATGAACCCAATAAGAACCCCACATATGAGCCTCGCATCTTGATCCCCCTCCTAAGCAACCTGGGCTGTGCCAGGTCGGAGCTGCAGTGGTGCTTGGCCCGCCTCAAGTGCGGCGAGGACTTTAGGGTCTTAGGGTCTCTTAGGCTTTTAAGGAAGAACATTTCGGGGATTGCAGCAAGATTTCATGGCTTCAGACAAGGGGGCCTGGCTGCCCGCCTTTAACAAGTGGGGCTCTTAACGTAGGGCCTGAAGAATATCAGAATATCCAAAGCACATCCGCGATGCGCAGAAGATTTCGCAGCACGAGCAGCCTTGGATCATTGGCCAGTGCAGGCTGAAGATTACAGCAATTTTCTGTACAACAATCGCGACCCGCCGTGGGCTTAGCATGCTACCTCAATGCTGCACTGACAGCACTTGTGCAACTTGAAGTTGACAGTGAGTGCACGGATGAGAATAGAATGATTTCCCTGGACGCCTCTGGCACTGAGGAATTACTTGCAGAACGAGGAGGTAGCCCAGAATCCGTGGTTCCGCCAAATGGCGAGGCCTTTGAAGTAGCGCAAAGCAAGTGGTGCGGGTTGCATGCTATGGCAAGGTTCGCGGACAAGTGGCGCCATTGCAAGGCCCACGTGGGGGTGGGATTGGGGCAGCTCTGAAGGGATCAACCCCCCCAGGTCTCAAGCACTTGTGATACTCTTGCTTTGCTTTGTCAGCAAATGCTGGAGGAGGGACACCTACGGCCTTTGCTCCACATCGACGTCCACGGCTGCAGGGATCCGTAGCACCCCAAGAAGATATTGCAAAGAAACAGAGGGGATTTGAGGGTGGTGCAACACATTCGCACATGTGATCAGAGAAGCACAAACATGAATCCGTCAGCGAGAGGCACTTCTACGAATTAACGGTTGGATCTAGAACAACTTAGTGGGCATAACAGATCTAGGTAGCTGAGCATGTCTTGACAGCATGTTCATAAAGGTGTTGGGTCGTCTCACGCCGACTCGGATTTTTCAATCAAGTGTCAATAAGGCCTGCGACGCCATCTCACTTGACAGTTGGCTTGGCAGCGATGCGCCACGAGGTGCGATGCTGTTCAAGCTGTTGTAAGGGAAGTATTTGGCGAGAAGATGCGAGAAGTGGGTGTAGTCTTAGTTTTGCCTACGCCATTTTCTCCGTCGATGTCATTGTCATGATCGTTATTGTCATCCTCTTTGTGCCGGTCACCTGCTGGTCTTTCTAGTTGTCATGGTAGTATTTTTGATGGTCGAGCCGCCCTTGGCGGCGGGAGCGGTTCAGCAAAGGGCAACTTGGCGGACCATCGATAAGCTTTGCATGAGCTAGTAAGGACGGGCTCTGCGATGCAAGTGGCATTGGGCACGCCCCAGCAACAGCAGCAACAGCAGCAACATCAGCATCCAAAGCCTTTTCATACGAGCATCGGCAACTTCGATGTCGGACTAGTTGTCATTTAGCATCAAGGAGCAGCCCCAGAGGCAGCCTGATAGTGCCCGTAACTTGCTTCAGCGAAGCGATGGATAAACCTAGGACACCAGGTTAGCTATCTGTATAAGACCATGCTTTGCTGCTGCAGCTCTGCGCTTTCTTTGTCGATGGGACATTCTGCTGCACTCATGGCTTTGCTTGCGTCTGCGGGTGGTTACTAGTGACGGCAATTTTGATTCACGGACTGTCTGCTTTAGATTCCCATGCTCAATTGCTTATGACATCTTATGACCGCTACCTAGTCACTAGTCTTTCGTTGGATAGCATAGGAAGCCCATGAAGTATCAAGTTGCCATCAGCTCGGACAAGCAGACGGCACATCCTGGGAGGGTTAGCTTTGACTCTGGCGCACGTCTGGCACTTTTCAGGTGATGCTGGAGTTCGATTTTCCAAGCCGTTTGCCGGATGTTTCGTCAGGTTGAGATGGGGCGAGGTCTGCTTTCCCAAAGCAGAGTGGAGACCTTTGCGGCTGCCTTGCAGGCAGGAGATGTCCATGGCGCCAAAGTGTGCATATGTGTGCGGTTTCTCTTGCATCCTTCAAGCTGGCTAGTGGAGTGAGTGGCAGTTGTAGGGTCGTCAAGCATGGTGTCAGGTTGTTAATGAATTTGAAGAATCGCCTTGGCCACCTGTCCTGTGACTTTCCCTTCCCCACCCTCTGCCCTCAGAACGAGCTAACTCTGGTGCTCAGTGGCTTGGAGCTCAAGCCAAGGCCAGTTCTGGGAGGATCTTTTTGAAGGATTTGCAAATCCGGTTTCAATGCAGGTCAGAGAAGCTCGTCCGGGTTCTGCTGCCAAGACTCTCCAGCAGTGAGGAGCCTAATGGAGAACCAAATGGAAAGCCCAGCTTTGCTGGGCCCACTGCAGAGCACACGGTGCTCATGAGCTCAGGTGAGACGATGGAGCGGCTTTCGGGTGCATGGCCCCTCGAGGAGAGGGTGGGCTCTTGGGTGCCGAAGCCATGAACTCTGTTGTGGTTGAATCTGCTTGCTGTGTTGACTCATGAAGCGTCAGCTCTGCAAGCTGTGGATTGGCAGGAAGGTCGCCTGACCCAATCGCAGCAGGACTTGCCCTCAGATTTGCTTCACGCAGCGGTTTTCAAAACGCACAGAGTGAATTGATCTCGGTAGGAATGTGCCCCATGCAAAAGCATACTTCTGCCAGACATCTTGTGTCATGTTTGGGATTGAGCAGTTGGCTGGAGGTAGGGATAGTCTTGTTTTGCTCCACATCTCTGTAAACCTCTGTAGGGGTTACAAGAGGGCACAGGAGAGCTATAGGTTTTTGTCCCAAAATTAGGGTCCCACTTTAGCACCCCTAGATATTCGGCGCCGTAGTATAATCTCTCACAAAAGGGACAACAATTTTGAGAATAGCCCATAATAGACGGTGTGTCGCAGCCACATTTCGGGGAAGGAGTTCTAGTACGAGCTTCCACTTGTTGAATAGCGTGACGAATTGGAGTGCAGCCTTTTGCTGAACTGGCCTCTGAGGCAATGGCTTTTGCTGGCTTCACGCATTCCTGTCAGCTGGAGCTGTCCAAGGTGGGCGCAGATGGTAGAGATTCTCATCATCAAGCCATACAAGCTCAAGGTCTTTGGCTTTTGCCTGGATGGTGACTACTCTGAGCAACATTCGGAGGGCTTGCATTTTAAATGGTCTTACGTCAGACAATTCTCTTAGGGTCCCGGGCCAACTCGCGACAGTTGGAGAGTTAGCCTGCCTCCTTCTAGAGGCACTCCGGCGAGCGTTGAGCCGAGATGATGCAGCTACAGCGCGGCTGGGCCGGGCAGTTACAAAGGCGAGTTCAGCAGTGGGCATTCATTGCTGTCAGATGTGGTTGTACCATTATAGTATATTTTGATATGCTATATTGGTAATATAGTAAACAAGAGTATATTATAATATAGTATATTATATTTCAGTATATTGTATCGCATCCAGCAGGAGTAAAGTTCAACCTTGCCAGGCTTGGGCGTTGTGCTGCCAGGGCGCGTTGCCCTCACTGTCTGCGTCTCAGTTCCAAACACGCTTACTCGTCCTGCTTGTGGCATCGCTTCATGGGCGCACAAACTCAAGCCGCCCGCCTGTATTCGGAGCTGAACATCATTGGCTCTTCTTGCCAGCTGCCCAACCTGAAGCAAATAGAAGCAAACTAGCAGCGACAAAAAGATGTGAGGGGTGCATGGGAGGGCGGGATCTACATACAATGGGCGGCGTGTTGGCAGGCTTCACGGGCCTGAGTCTTCTAAGCCCAACAAAGCTGGCGGTCAGTGGGTTGGGTCAGGTCGATTATGGCTGATTATGGCTGTTTTGCACCCGCATGAAAGCATGCGCAATCTTGAAGCACGCGAGCTGGACAGATCGGAGACATTTGGAACTCTACATGAAACGGAAATTATCGGGAACGCACGATGAAGTCCTTGTTCTTTTCATGTTGGTGTGGCCTGCGAGATGATGAGTAGAGGCCACGACGCACACTGCACATTTGACTGAGCCATGCTGACGTTTCTGCTGCATCCCGAGGAAGTCCTCAAGCGTGGGGCAAAGCGCGATCCCTGATCTGGCAGTGCGCAGTATTGTGGGAAGTACAGAGATTTGCAGCATCAGAGCCAAGCCCCTCAAGCTTGTTCAGGCGGCGACAAAGACACTCCTGAGCTGGTCCTGGTGCCTGGCCTACCTGGTCCTTGAGTAAATATCGTGCGTTGCACTTCTGTTTCAGGCGAGACCCCGCAGTGGCGGGACCCGCGAGCGGAAGAGGCCATTTAGAACACGGTGTAGATAGGATCTATGCTGAACATTCTTGCAGCAAGGCGTGGCGATCGCCGTGGCTGCCCACCTCTTCGGCGTCATCAGAGCGCCTGATGTACGGAACATGCGCAGGGTCTTGGAAGGAGGTATCAGATTGACTTTGCTCAGTATGTTTACCAGCTGTGGGGAAGTGCTAGGACATATGTCGAAGACAGACAGGTAAGTGGGAAATTGGATACCCCAAACATTGGGTTCTAGCCCAGTTTACACGAAATTTTTTTCCATTGGCAAGATCTCCGTTCAATTCACTCATTCCAGTAAGCTCAACCGAATCTGTGCCGGGTAGAGAGTGTAGAGTGTGTAGCACAGGGGCTGCTGCCCACAGAGCTCTTGCTAGCATGCCCGTGTTGGGAGCGCTTGCATGGCAAGCGCTAAGAGGCTCGTGAAGACCCGGGTTTTCCAACTCGTGCAGCCATTGTGGCACGTGTTTTTCAGGTGATAGCTAGGTCGGGAGAATGGTTTATGTTGTGATTCGCGAACATGCAGCAAACCGATGGCTGTGCAACTTTGCGTTCGCAAGCTTGTTTCAAAGCTGTGTTCTGCCTGGGGCCCAGCTCGAAACGAGCGTGAATACAGAAAGGGCAGGTGCCTGCGGTGCCTGCAGTCTGGGGGCTCGTGTTGGCGAAAGGCACACTGTACAGGCATTGCAACCCGCCCGCAGACCAGATCTCCGACAAAAGGCGAGGTCAATGTAACATACTGTACCCGCAGCAGACTAGTTGCACCCTCCGGTCACTACCCCAGTTTGGCTGTGTCCCCAAAGCTTCGTAACTGATGTATGTTGTATCAGGCTCTTAAGCAATGAAAAGCGTTTTGAGCCTTGGATTGAACCCAATTCTGAAAAACTTGCTGGTCCAGCATTGATGTGCATGGCCTCGGCGCTGAAGCGGTCGGCGCCAGGCGCCTCACTGCACCTAAGCGGCTCTGTTCCAAACAGTACCAAAAGCTGCTCGATTCAAACAGTGCTGCCCAGAGCTCGAAACAGGGACGTCAGTCTCTGCACGGACACGGGCAGGCTGCGACTCTCCATTGCTGGCCGCTGTGGACCGCCTGGGGATTGAAGCCCATCTGGGTTCTGTCTCGTTACTGCTTTTTACTGGAAGGGATGCGGCCTACTACAATCGTTCTTGTCGAGGACTTGGGCGGAACTACCATAGCCGTTGGTCTTGTTGGGCCAGATGGGCAACTGGTCGAAAAGCTGAAGCGCTGGCTCTGTTTCTTTCCTGTGCAAGAATCTGCGGCCCCCAGGCCGATCACTTGAACCCAGAATCACTTGACTAAGTAGCCGGACCCAATGACTGAGCTATCCTTGAGCTCTGGACTCTCAAGAGAGAGAGAGCTTACACTCCGAGCTTCCGCGTCTGCGCGGCAGGGATGATGAGGTCGGTGACGATCACCGGCCAAACATCATTGTGCAGCGCATCCACCAGCTCCTCCAGGCCAGCATGCAGGATGCATATGTTGGGTTTTAGTATATTGGGGTTATATAAGGATAATGGAAAGTAGAATAGAAACTACTATAGTATATTGGGGTTATATTGGGATAATGGAAACTAAAATGGAAGCTACTATAATAGGTTATATAGGGCTTTTTTCAACAGACAATTCCTTTTGACGAGCACACCGGCAGAAGTCAAAAGCGACATTATCTAGACTGGGGTACTTGTGGGATTTTTGTGTCAGCGGGCCCCACTATTGAAAAATATTGCAAAAGCATTCCTAGTACGGATCCTCTGGCCAAATGATGGTTTCAAATTGGGTACGCTGTTTCGTTTCCATATTTTGTTGGGTTTCTATGGGTTTAGTGCAAGCATGGAGTTGGTTAGTTTGCTTTTCTCCCCTGCTCTTCACCATTGGACTCCCAACAGTCAGGATCAGAATCCTACATAGTAATTGTACAGCATATGTATATATGTATCTTTATACATGTATAAGTAACGGTTCAATAAGTTGAGGTTCCGTGTACATGAACAGGGGGGTAATCCCCAAGCCGCGGCGCCACCGCTACATGGATATAAATTCGGTTTGCTAGCGCACTCCGTGGTTGGGCGAAGGAGACCGTGCAACGGGCCGGGCGGTCTTGGGCTGATGTACAGAGACTTGGAGCTAGGGGCCCAGATCACACAGCAAACTTAGGCTGCGGTTCATGGCACGTAAGCTTTGATGCGCCCAAAGCAACTAGATGCTGAAACAGAGTAGCTGCCTAGCTCCTAGCTGTTGTCCTGCCACTTGTCTGCTATTCCACCGTGTGCCAATGTACCTGAAGTGGTGAGGTTTGTACCCCTGGACTCTTGGACTTCTCGACAGGGGTGGTGACAGCAGCCAACCTCACAGGATGGACAAAGGCTTGGCCCACACGTTGAAGTTGCTTTGGATCTTTGGCTCCTTTCATCACCTGGCAGGTGCCATTGGTGAAGTTGCTTGCCGAGGACGGAGACAGAGCAAAACCACGCTTCGGATCGTCTGCACTGAAGGAGCTTGGCTGGGTTTCTTCCCGAGTGACCCTCGAGCACGATACAAATGCGGCCCTGTTGGCCGAGGCAGAGCTCAATGAGAGCTCTCCTTCCGAAACTGTGCAGTTCTATTGCAGTGGTTTGTAACACTGGCCCTCCATTTTCATGCCTTGATCATTGCATTGTGTAGATCTGCTCCCAGGCGTGGATTGGCGGAGCAGTTGGCGAGCAGCATGAGCCGTCCTTAGGCTGACACGATGGAAATGTCCTGAGAGGGCCATGGGACTGTCTGCAGCTGTTTTGATGGCATTACAAGCGGAGCTCACGATCTGGGCTGGGTCTCACACCTTGAGCTCCACCATGTTACCTTGTTCAAGTACCTTACTCAGGTTGTGCTGCTCTCTTTGGGCACTGGCATTGGCGCCGCAATCATGCTCTTTGCCGGGAAGTGTAGGTTTTCTATTGAGATTCGGAGGTTAAGCTTTGAAGTTCTGCTAGGCGGTTCTGTGTTGAGGTGCGATGGCCACCTCCTTAGAGGCAGTCGCGGACAGGCGGGTGAAGTGGGCAGCAGCCTCAGAGCCAGATGCTGACTCGGCAACGTTCTCCGGTTTTCATGATCTTCGTTTCAGGCCATGCAATTCTAATTCCCGACGGCCGCGAGTTCGGCAGAGCGGGTGTGCTGGGGAGCCTAGTAATGGCCCGGAGAGCTTCCAGGCCCAGAAGCAGACTAACTGCACCCGCAAGGAGAGGCATCTTCGAAGGCTATGCAAGCGCTAGCGCCGTGGCTGAGTCCCAAGTGCTGACGCAGATGCCGTTTGTGCTTGCCTTGCTGGGCTGTCGTTCCAGGTGGCGCGCGCGAAGGAACGGATGCGACCAAGTTCTTCCCTGGCACAGGTTGAGGCCGTGTTGGGGCATGCCCTGGTCTTCTAACAGAGTCGCCTTACTTAAGCTGGAAAGCTGTACTAAAGTTCTCTTTGTGTGAGGACTTGGATTGCGAAGACGTCTTCAGACATGCTGGGATGGATCCACCAGATCCGTTAGCCAAAGAGCTTGTACAGGAAACGGCCAGGTGCGCATGCAGTGGATGCAGTGGTGACTGTGTGGCATTGACTGTAGTGCTTTCGGCTGGCAAACCACAGCACGTGACTGACATTGAGGTACCTGGCGATAGGTTGCATCAACTGTTGCCGATTTGTAGATCCAGCTATCATCCTGCTCCTTGGCGGCTTGCATGGTGGCCAGGGCATTCCTAGCATCAACCCTGCTAAGGTTCTCTGGCGGAATGGCCGAGGCCTTTGACGTCCTGATCATCATCTGACGACTCACGACTGCTAGCTGTGAAGTTTGAAGCCTTGGCACCTGTCATCGCGACCTGAAATCTCTGCGGAGTGTTGATGGAAGGCTGGCGAGAGCTTGCTACAAGAGGTGAGGAGGCACCTGAGCAGCTCTTTAGTAGATTGGAGCTGTGGCTGTCAGCTATGCGGGCATGTCCGGTACTTACAGCTGAGGGTTCGTTTCTAGCTCTCATTCCAGGTTCTGTCACGTCAATATAAGCATGGTCAGAGTACTAGCATTTCCAACCTTTAGCAGCCAGGGTGAAATTGATTTTTGGAGATCCAGCTCGCGGGCTTCGTCTGCGGGCAAGGTCACCACTACCCTCATCAGATCCGTTTCCTCAGACTGCGACTGGACGCTTCTAAAGTTCACCAGCTCCGCCCGAAGATGTAGGCACATTTTCGACCCCCTCTTTTGTATATTTAATTGCACGGCATTCGAAACGAACTCTGAGGGTAAAGCCTCCCCTCCTAAGGCCGTTCAGCCACGGGGTGTTTTGATGCAGTAGGTTTAAGAGTAGAAGCCATGCGCCAGCGATGGGGGCCCTTTCTGGACCTTGGCAGCCGCACGGGCAGCCGGGCTGATGCACCCAGAAGGTGGTGTTGGGCTAGTACTGGTTGGAAGCGTCCGCTAGCGTCTGCACTGCCAGTTCGGCGCTGGCTCCTAAGCCAGGTGCTTTTGTCGTCGCTCGTATCTCCGATGGCTGTTGGTGGGGGTATTGCACCCAGACTCACTGGTCGCAAGGTTACAGTGTCTGCAAGCGCTGTGCACCAGGTTGTCTGGGTTGCTGTGAGTCACCAGCGACAGCCCGATCAGACAGGCAGGCCCTCACATGCCGTCATTTTGCAACTCTCAGCGGAGTTGCGGGATGCACTGCACAGGACTGTTTGAAACGCAATCCTCAGCGGCGAGCAGCTCAATTTGCGCAAGCGGCGCAACCTTCGACCTTCACACCTAGTTTACTCAATGCCAATATCATTTTGCCTTTGCTCGACGCAGGCCTCTGATAAGAGCTTTCCATTTCTTGAAGTTTATCCGCTCAGGCTGTCCCAGGATCTTCTAGCCGTATTGCTGCGGCAGGCATGTGCCTAGTTACCCTCGAAGTCCTTCAGTCTGCGCTCTGGGACCAACTTCTGGCTCAGGTGCCGCTGCCGCCGTTGGCATCGCAGCAGCTCAAGGTCATGAGGGCTTGGTTAAAAACACCGTTATAAACTTGAGTAAGGGCGGCCCTGTTTTGCAGATTCACTGTAAAGCGATAAAGAATAAAGATCAACGATAAGGGTTTGTATTTGCAAGATTAGCACATGGATTAAGAAGCATTCACTGGAAAGCAATCAGGAATCAAAAAAGCGATGAGGTTTCAAATAGATACTAGAGTCCGTGATAGGGTTTCCACACGCCCATGATGTTCTGGGGTCCGAAAGTGCAGCAGGGACTTTTGGCAAGCAGGTGGCGGCAACTCAAAAGCGGTAGCTGAGGCCGGAAGCGTTCATGGCTCACGTTGCAGAGGTTTCACAGCTGGAGAAAAATTGCGTTTGGCTGCAGGGTGGTAGCAGTTTGGTTACCTCCGTGCAAAGGGCTCAGCCACGAGGCGTTTGTCATGCTGCCTGCATCAGTGGATGAGGTTGAACCTAGCCAAGAATATCATTGGCGCTGGCATGCTGTCCCTGCCGGTGGCGGGGACCTGATGCAACGAGCCACCGAGCTGGACAGCTTTTGTCTTCTTTTGGCTTTGCACGACCTTTGAGGCCATGAGAGGTGCCGGCCTCGTTCCCTACGTTGTCGGCATCACGTTGGCAGGCGTTCTGAATGCAGCGGCCTTGGCAAGCCCCCAGAGTCGACGCAGGATAGCTGCGGATGTGATTATGCAAGTTGAATTCAAGAGGCTGATCACGTCTTGATTGATAGGTATTGATTAGGATGATGATTACTGCATTTAGTCTCTCCTCTCAAGGCTTCGGGCCGCTAAGCGCTAAGACTGTTTGGTCCTTCGATGCCTCATAGGTTGATCTGCAGTTCAGCATTACCAGATGAGCGTTGCAGGCCTACACGTTCTTCTTGCTGGGCTGGTGTTGCGAGGCCACGGCACAACGGTGCTAGAAGGTCATGAGCTCTGGCAATGATTAACGCGAGACCGCCTCGGCAAGTGGGGTTCAGGCGAAGCCGTGCCCCATGCCTCCCCCGAAAAAAAGCCAATCGGACGCCCCGAAATCGCGCCCACTGGGAGGGGGTTGGGGGAGGGTTCACTTACTCTCAAAGTCTCCATTCTAAACGTTCCAGGCCTCCGACCTCGGTGGATTAGGGCCCACTGTCCGTTCCCCTGCGAGGTTGCTGGTGCTAGCACCTTCGGCGAGCTTTGGGCCAAATGCTTCGGGAAGCAGAATGCGTGGATCGCTGACATTTCAGGCGGCTTGTTGGGCGGGATCGGAAAGGGCCTCAGCCCCAAATTTCCAGACCCTACTAGACCGCTTCAAGCTGATCAGAGGATGTTAAGCCTTTGAAGCCTTTGCCTGGCTCCCAGTTCTGATGAACAATAGCATGGCCTGCCTGGCGCACCTTGCCTGCACAAAGCCTTGATTCTTCACTTTAGTTGATCTTATTCAGCTGTTTCTTTAGGTTGTACTAGAGTGACTACTTCCCAAAGGGACGCATCATTCTGAGACCGTTTGTTTCTCAAGTTTGTAGAGTCAATCCGAAGCCTGGCCCCTTTCCATCTTGCAAAAGGTATTGCGTGCTCATGGGGGACTTCTTCCCAAAGGCCCGGCCGTGGGTGTTTGTCTGAAGATCTTTTGGGGGCCCCCCCCCCAAAGAGAGGACAACATCGAGAATTGAGTTTTTGAAGACATTCTTTCCAGCGCGACACTGAATGCACGACTTTTTGAGACTGGTCTCGCTTCACCTTATAGCCCCCAGGGCAAACTTCTGTGCTAAGCTTTTGGCCTTGCAAGGCCTTGGCTGGACTGCTGCCCGACTGCCATTTGTGGGAGTCCCAGTGCCTCACAGTGAGATGCGGCATGCTTTAGATGCAAGCTTTTCCTTCTAGCGCTGCTCATGGATTCATGTGCTTAAATCTGATCTTCCAAGTTTGCATGGCCGCGGCGCAGATCTTGTAATCATTGCTGTCTTCCTGCTGGCCAGGGCCCCACGTGCAAGCTGCTGGTGTAGGTAGGAAAGTCGCGCTGCACTTCTTTGCCTGCCAGGTGCCTCTGTCCCTCATGAGAGATCTGGCTCCTTTGGCATACGCTTCCATTGCAGGCTGCGTGGGAGAGGTCTTAGAGGCGAAGCGGAGTTACTGAGGGTTCAGCCCAGGCCTTGCAGCCACAGCCTACGTCTTCTTAATGCTGCTGAAGGCATCATCTGAATTACACGCATGCCGCATGCCCCATCCAGATTGGAAGCTTGGAGCTTCTTGATGCCCTGATGCCGATAGGATGCGGTGGCATCAGCACAGTGGGGCGCAGCGGGTGCGCTGACGAGCAACATTTCGCCCTTGCGCTGCTTGGACAGTTGGCACTTTGCCGAAAAAGGAGCGAAGAATCGAGCATAGCAAGCCCAGGCTTGGACTTCTTTGAAGCCTTGGTCTCGGTGCTGCATCGTTGAACTTGAAGGAAAGCATGACAAGATTCCGAGGCTTTGGCCTTGTTTGGATCCGCGTTCATGGCAGGTTACCCAGCTGTGGTTTTGGTTGTGGACACAAGGGCACATGCTTCGGTTTGCACCGCCGTCACCGCCCCCCCCACCCCAGAATCATCATCATTGTCATCGTCGTTGATGAGAGTGATTTCGCTGCTGGGGTGGCAGCAGCCGTCGTTAGGGTTGCTCCAACGCTTCTTACTCATCCTGCATTTGATCCTGCAATTGGGGCAAAAATCATTAATGAATCGCAAGCTTAGTCATTGAATCTTCCAGCAGAAGCACAGGAGGGGTCTTGCAACAACATGTCAAGTCTTGGTGTGCTCTGGTGGAAGTCCCAGGAACACCGGCCTCTGAGGCGCATTACAACGCACCAAAGTTCTACGCTCAACTTCAGGCGCTCTTACCTGCTGTATTTGCATGCGTTACTTAATGCGGAATTGCAGAGTGGACAGTGTTGTGTAAAACCCAGCGCACTGCTCCCATTATAGAGGTCCCCCGCGGTCATCTTTGACTATTGCTTGTCCTTGAAGTGACACGTGAGTGCTTGATTCGGAGTGGGAGCTCGGAAACGGGCCTCATCGATGACAGCACCCGTTCACCCTCTCATGGAAAGCTTTGGTTAAAGGTGTCTTCCTGGGTTGTAGCCGTAGCTTATCCCTCAACAAGTGGAGCAGTGTTGCTGTCTAGCTCAAAACCAGGTGGTGTAACTACCGCGAAAGCTTGTCAGCTAGAAATCTTGGTGCAGGGCGTGGGACGAAGCATCAGTGCAAGATGTTGACAGCCTGAGCGATGTGAGCCTTGCAACCTTGAAGGACCGTTCTGTCCCCAAGTTTGCAGTTCTGGTGTGCATGGCATATGGACTCGCTCTTGTTGTGTTCATAGTCCGGAACTTAGAATTTGGGAGAGCCATTGGATGGCTCTTATTTTGCTGGGAGATTGCACGGTTGAGGTGTTTGGCATGTGCGGTTTCGCCCTTTTCGGCTACGACGCGGACAGCGCTCAGAGTTGGTTTAAGTGAAGACATCGAAAGCTGTTCGGATGGTTTGGTCACATTTGCCAGTTGGAGTTAGTTTGCCAGAGACTGCACAGTGGTTCGTGCACGTTTTTCGCATCAAGTCGCAATTCTACGATGGTTAGGGGCCGGGTTTAGTTGTGTGATGGTATGTGGTTAGCTCACTTGCAGAAATCTACATGCAGAAGAGAAGCGACAGCGCCCACCACTTTGAGAATTCCGCATGTTCAAAGACTGAAATTCAGCTGCAAGGGGAAGCTGTATTTGAAGCAGCAGGCCGTCGAACAAAATCGGCAAAGTACACCGCAAGGGTTCTGTGTGTGAGAGTGTTGAGCCCCATCTTTTTTCGAAAGGTTGCACAGCCTGCAAGTATTTCACGGCTGATCAGTGCAGGTGTTGCTGTTGCGGTTCTTACGATAGGTGTTAACAATGCCTGCGGCAGTGAGGCCGTTGCTGATTGATTCTACAAGCAGGTGACACTTAGCAGAGAATGCCGGATGCAGAGTGTCATAAACTGATGCTCCCTTCTCAAGGGAGCTCCGTGCTGCTACGTGAGGAGAACTAAGAACTGGGGGCACATAGCCCCAGCATAGAGCCATCAGCTTTTATGCCTTTCAGCCTCTAACAGTTGAAGATCAAATGAAGTTTGCATGTACAGCGCTGCAAGGAGTAATAAAAGTGACTATTACAGGATGCGGAGAAGGCATGCAAATCCAGTGATCCCCGGTAACATGATGGAAGATCCACATCCACATGTGCATGCAGTGAACATATGTTCCTTTAGGATGGGGCAATCGACAGGAGGGGAACATCTTGAAGAACTATGGCTTCGGTCCAGAGGCAGCGCCTTCAGAGTCTTCGGCACACGCTCTGAGCCTTGCAGCCCAGGTGATGCTGGCGTGGCTTAGCATGGGGTTCTCCGTGGCTTTCACATACCCGTTGGTCTTCAGCGGTTTCCGGGATTCCTGTGTGTCCCTGCGCAGGGCTCAGGCTTCGGCAGGTTTAGGTTTCTCTCCGTTGTCACGTCTGTAAGCAGAGGCTGGCAGGCTGCGGCCTTTCTGGCGAGCCCAGTGGTTTCCGAGTGTGCTTGCCTCAGACGATTATCGCATCGAGTCTATCTGAAGTCAGCGAGCTTCGCATCTTGGCACAGCCTTCTTGAAACACTAGGATCTTCACCCTTTTTGCTGTCGCGGCCACGGTCTTGGGCGGAACCGTCTTCAGCAACGTGGCCCAGGTAAACGGGGCGAAAGGCGCGGTGCCGTAGACAGCCCATTGAGCAAAGTGCTTGCGCTGAATGCTTGCAGGGTTGTAATTCACGTGTGCTTCGGAAGGTGCTGTACTTAGCCCTTGCCTGGCTTTCATCTACCCAGCCGCGATCCACCTCAGGCCAAAGAATCGGGGCATTCTTCCTGTCTGTCTGCAGTGCTTTGCAGGTCAACATCCAAGGAGAAGGTCAATGCACCGCCTTCCCTGGTCGCCCTGCGACTCGGGAGCTACGGCCCACGGCTCGGCAAGATGTGTCAGGGTGGGCAGTGGGCTGTGTAGGCAGTCGCAGGACGACAGTGCAACAAGCTCGAAGATTCATGCTTTCTTCACGTGACAAAGCCTTGTCATGTGACCATTCGGCTCCAAGCCCCTTGTCCTCCCTACTGCCGCTCCTTGACGAAGCCAGGCTGCTAATGGAAGGGGCCATGCTTAATCAAATTTTCATTCTTACACAAAGGGAAGGTTTGGATTGAAGCGCTGTTGTTGCAAGAGCTCAGGCTAGCAGCGGCTAGCAGGTGGTGTCAAGAGAAGGAGCCTCCAAATCTTGATGGGAAACTGTCCAGTTTGCATCATCCTTTCCAGGCAATGGTCGAGGGAGGGAAGGCTGCTGGTAAGGGTCGAGGACCGCCTTGGGATCCACTCTTTTTGTCAGAATTGGTGCAAGGTAACGAGCACTCACACTGCTGTCACCACCACTTCAATCAAGCAAGCCATGCGCAGAAGCGAAATGCAGGGATCAACAAAGAGAATACCTGCAGCTGTCAGGGCCTCCTCCACCTCCACGAGGAGGCTCGTTGCGTGTCCGGGTTCTCCAAGCACCTTGCGTGTGTAGAAAGCTGACCTTGGAGCATGCATGCTGCCCGCATTTGCTTCAGCATCGTCGGTGGATAACGACAGGAAAGGCAGCTTCTAAGGGGCACAAGCAGAGTACCTTGGCTGAAAGCCGGGCAACATCCAGCTGGAGACCTCATTGCCTGGTAACACTTTCTTCGCTAGGACCGCTAGGACCACAGGGAAGGAAGTCATGTGCGTCTAGCTACCTCAAAGCATTTGCATCTACTCACACAGCGGCATTTCAGTCTATTTGGGGTGATCTGCGTCTACCTAATGGCTTACATGCTGGAGCAAAAGCCTTAAGACTTTGTTGGAAAGTAAGTTGTTGGAGACAGTTCGTTTTTCTTTCAAAACAAGGTCAAACCGCAACCAACAAAAGCAAACCTACTACATCGCTTGGGATCGAGCAGCGGCATGATGGCTGATAGCAAACGCCCACATACCTTCAATGAGGGTGCTATGTCCGATGCTCGAGCTCGAGACATGGCTCCAGACATCGCCGCGGCGGGGCTCTTGAAATGGGGGCATGGTAGGTGTATATCTTTGACACTAACGCGTAGTTACCCCACTCGGCCGTAGTCAACAGGTAGTGTGTACAATAGGCATGCTTCACTTTTACCCACCTGAGCTCATGAGTGCTCAAAGTTGTTTTTGTTATCTTGCCACGGTGGCGGAGCTTGCCCATTGATCCAAGTACGGCTTGAAACCCGCCTCAGAATGGGCAAGCCCGTCTCAGCCCGTCTGAGCGGGGAACCCCTAGGAAGTGCAACAGTCAGGATTACCCCCCACTTTGGGGTAAAGTTTTGAGGGAGAAGAGGGCCAGGAGGTGGGGACTCGAAATTCCTAACTCCAGGAGTGCTTACTCTCCACTATGGTCATGATTTCATTCCATGACTCTTGCAAATTGGCTGTTGCAATGACAGCAGGCTCGGTATACTGCAACCGTTCCAAGGCTGCAATGATTGATTTCTCAGCCTGAAGCTCCCGTTGCTCGTACTTAGTTGAAGAGCGCCATGCTTCATCCAATGCGGGGAACGCCGGTGGAGATACTGGTCTCTTGATAAAACTTGGTGCCCCGGCGGTAGCCTCATGAACATCCTCTGACATATCAGCCCAGGAATTACGATTTCCCCCATGTTCATTAGGGCAACTCGTGCCAGCACTGGAGTCAGGGGCGTTATCACTAGAGGTGACCGCTTGCTGATGTTGAGAGCATGGGAACACAGTGGTTGCACTCTGGGGCTGATTAGATTAGTACTAGGCGGCGGAGCACTGCTCTTTGTTGCTGCAGCTTGCACGCTTGCCAAAGAGGCGCTAGGCATATGGGTCCCCATTGGACTGACGTCTGGAACCTTCCTGTGTGGCAGCTCGGGCAGAGCTCGCGCAGCGATTAGCTGTGCACCATCCCTGGTACTGGAGTTTGTTGTCTTAACTTCGCCACTAGCAGTAGCATTGGACGAGAGATAAGATAGGACTCCCTGTACTACTGTAACCCATTCCTTTCTAGGCAACTGAGGATGAGCCTTCGCTTGCACGGGAGGCGATTGGGACAGCGTTGATTGGGTTGTGCTACTACTAGACGGAAAGGCCGATGAATTTCCAGTACTGCTTATGACACGGCGAGAACTGGTGGGATTCCCTGGGGGATGTGATTTAAGATCCGATGGATCCTCAGGTTCCCACTGTCTCCTGAAGCGCGCATGTTTGCAGGAGAACTCAAATCTACACATGCCATCCCTCCAATGTGAGCACATCTTCCTGTCAAACGCAGGTATTCCACGAACATCTCCAGCTACGTCAACGTCATCAAACTTCCAGCCGGACGGTGCACTTCTTTCGTCACGCTTGAAGTTGCACATATACCCATGGTTGCATTTACTTTTAGGGTAATGTGAACATGGGGTTTATAGCGCGTTCTACGCCGGTGCCGGTCCCGAAGTATGCCCAAGGAAGTAATCTGTGATTCGGAGGACAATGTAGAAGGATCCTGGTCTGGAAATCGTTTATCACTGACCGGGTTATCCAAAGCGTCCTCAAACTGCAACTCCTCTGGGCCTCTACACACTAAGTTGGGGCCCTGGCAGCCTATCACGTCGATGTCTACCATCTCATCTCCTTTTCGAAGGTGATGCATATATGAGGTAGGTTCAACTAAAACGGCTGAGTGTTCTACTGGCCTGGTGGTCATCCAGACCTCATCTGCCTCGCTGTCAACGTAGGTAATGATGGCAGGGAAGCGATCACCGGTTTGTACTGATGGTACCTCCCCCACTCATCGTCGCTTGCCTGTAGGGCTGCTTCAACTTCGAACGCAGGCTCAGCGAAGTCTGGTATAAAACCATCTCCGTCACACACCACGTACTTATCTCTAACCTCCAGTACGGGCGTATCATCCACTGGATCCCCTACTTGCGTGAGCTTTAATATCCTTACCTTGGCATAAAAGCGAGCCGATACACCGCTGGCCGTTTTGCCCCACAAGTAGGCTTTACGCAACGCCACGATACGGATACCAAGCGTATCACCGACTACGACAGTGGACGGCGTAGTCCACTCGCCACAGGAGGATCTTCCTCTTCCGGAGACCCCGGTCTCTCCTGTTTTGGAGGTTGCAGCGTCCAAGTACTGATCATCGCTATAGGCTAGCAAAACGGCAATCCGTCCAGTTGGTCCGTAAGAATCTGTGGGTGCCCTTGCGTTTGAGACATGGAAGCCTGCGTTAGGATAAAACCATATCTCACCCATTTCGTTAGACCAAACCTTCAGCTTTGCACGACACAGCCCCTCAATTTCTACTATACAACTCCGGCTCTTTAGGCTTTTTCTTGAAGAGGCATGGCTTCATGACTCTCCATGGCGGCGCACTTTTTATCTGGTTGGGCAAGCCTCTCGAAGTAACAGCAAAACAACAGACAACCACAACAACAAAC